TCATTTTGTTATAAATTTCAGTGTTAACGATTAAGTATGCGTTTTCCTATTAAATACTCAAAGCTAGGCATTCAGTGACGTTTCATGCACAGTACCTTGTCCAGCCATTGTTCATTCTTAGAAATTTTTATGGATTCTATATAGAATTCGTCGAGTTAATGTTCTCAGAGTCTGTAAGAATAGGACCAATTGTAAATCATTTTTTTTATCATTTTTTTGCAGATTACGTTGTTTAGGTTGCCATCCAATATTTCAATAAAGTTTCGCGGAAACGACTTTTGGATTAACCCACGGCGGTAATCCCTGTAGCCAGGGAGTTGATGCCGTGACAAGTTAAGTATAGCAACTGATCGTGGGCATTAAAAAGAAGATTTTAAGTGCAGTTACGTGGCAAATATGACAGGTTATTTTATTGCAACGGTTTACAGCAAATGTTTCTGCCCAGCCATATATCGCCCAAGATTGGCATTACTGTCAAATTGTTTGGCAGCAAATTTTGCCGCATGTGTTAAACTGTCCTCATCATTAATCCAAAGTTCAATTTTTTAATCAAAGATCCCCACGTTTTCTGTTTTGTTTCTTATAGAAATTGAAGAGTTTGTTTAGCCACAATATATAGTATTTTTCGTATCATTTACATCAATCTCGTAAATTTTCAAAATATCTGGGACATGAGTTTTAAATTCCGGGACACAAATAGAGTCCCGATTAATTTGTCTATATTTTTATATTTTTTCTGTGATATTTTCTTCATTTTTATATATTTTTAATGGCAATTTCTCGTCTCGTTCCGATGTCCCGCGCTTCATTTCGAGAAAATTATTCCGAGACGCACGAGTCTACATTATACTGTATATAATTAAGAACTGCGCTATATCTTTCATCATTTTGTATATCTTTCTTGCAGAATATGCCCTAGCAACAATGATTATAGAACTGTACTATCATTCATCACTAATCTTATATATATATTGTGATATGTATTATAGACTGTATAGTGTCATTTCTGACATCCAACAGAGCTTGTTTATATACTCCTATAAAGAACGTATAAGGAACGTATATATATATAAGGAACTCCTATAAGGAACGCTTGTTTATGTACTCCTATAAGGAAATAAACATATGGAAGCTTGAAAGCTTAGATTTGTGAACTCTTTACTCAATCATAAACAACAGGATACAATACACACTATCCTCTAAATTTATAATAAGCTCTTCTTTCACTTATATATAGCAAAACCTGATAATGATCGAGATACTGAGAATATAATATATATATATCGTTCGGACAATACACCTTTGGGTTAAACAAATATTTTCAGGACTCACAGTAAGGTTAAAGTTGTGCCTTTATATAAGATAATACTGGCGATATATGAAACATTGTCAACAGTGAATGAACAACATTTATTGGTAATACATATATATAATAATCACATATATAGCGATCCGTTATACGCAATGTTGCCTCAATTAAAAAGATATATATAATTGTGGCACTCAACTGGTGAGACGACAGCATAATTAAGGAAATTAGGCAAATTCGTTAGATTTGAACTTCAATTATGACTGACAATCAAGCCTCACTATATAGAAATTGTCACGACGATTAATAATTACACAATAATAATTTTAATTATTGATTACGATGAAACAAATAACCTGAAGGTTTTGATACCCAGTGTGATACATAATTCATAGTTAATACAATTAATACAAATTTTAAAAAAATAAGTAAGAGGGTCAGGAAGTTTGATAATAAAAATAGAATGAATAGCACAAGCGTTTATAACTGCATTTGAATAATATTACAGATTTAAATTAGAATCGAACAATCCGTAGCGTAGAATACGTTTTAAATTAAGCTGCTACTTATAATATACAATTGCAACACTACTATTTCTGAATGAAGATTAAACATGAATTAAATATGAGTTTGCTGCAGAGATTGGTATATTATATATATAGAATCCCTGAGCTAATTAAATGCATTATGAAATTGAATATATATATTGAAGTAGATTTGAGAATAGTTTGTCTATCCACTCGAGGCAGTATAGAATTTAAATTGACAATGAACTTAAATCCAGTGAATGTAGAACTGAGGTTAAATTAATGAAATAAAAAATAAATATAAATTTATTTTATTAATTAATTAGTCACAAGCTAAAATCCAACTTTCATAAGCTTTGAGTTGATGCAAAAAATGAATGAAAATGACACGAAATTTACGCAATATAATTAAGTGATAGCGAGTTAGGTTTATATAGGAAGATTTAATGTATAGATAATATATGTGACATTATATATTTGATATATTATCTATTATATAGATATAGATACTTAATGGTCGGTGAATTGGATGCTGCGTATAGCTTTGTATCGTTGAGGTCGCATAACAATAAAATATATACGAACTCCTATTATAGACTCGATTGATTGGCCCAATCATCACTCTATAACGTGTAGCTCCAATTAGGTACAAATGATAGGCCCAATCAACATTCTCATGATGGCCACAGAACACAAATCTTATAAATATATTTACATGAAAAAGCTCAACTGATTGGCCCAATCACCGCTGAACTGCTGGAAGGTAGACGCATCAGGCCCAGTGCATAACTTTACCTTGTTCGATCGCAAAGTGCAGCAAAAGAAAGTCGCATTGCGTGCCACAGGAAAACCGTTTGGCAGGCCCAAAGTTTTTGTAATAAATTATCGACGATAAACTAAGAAATTATCAGATAAATGGAGTAGTTCATGGTCAGCAGCGTCAGTCAGCAGTCAGCAGCGGCAGTCAGCAGTCAGCTGCGGCAGTCAGCAGCTGCGGCAGTCAGCAGCTGCGGCAGTCAGCTGCGGCAGTCAGCAGTCAGCTGCGGTTCGCTGGTCCGGCCTCCGCCGCGGCCGCTTTTTTTATGAACAAAAAATTCCGTGGGCCGTGCGGCACGAAAACAAAATGGCGACCGAACAAAAATGGCGGCGCCGGCATAGGCCCGACGGCCGCTGGCAAAAATGGCGGCTCCGCCATAGGCCAAATGAAACAGGCAATGGAGAAGCAGCCCTGATATTGACAGCCCGGCACCCACCTGTCGCCCACAAGTCGTCCATCTGTCACCCACCCGTTATTCCTTCGTCGCCCACTCGTCTCGTCGCTAACCCATCACCCCCTCGTCGTCCACCTATCGCCCACTCTTCACCCAACTGTCGCCCACTCGTTGCCCACCCGTCGCAAATCCGTCGTCCACCCGTCATCCGCTTGTCTCCACCCGTCACTCACCAATCAACCCTCTTCACCCACCCGTCGCCCACTCTTCACCCACCTGTCGTCCACTCGTCGCTCACCCGTCGCCCACCCGTCGCCCACTCTTCACCCACCTGTCGTCCACTCGTCGCCCAACCGTCGCCAGGGGGGATGCCGCTCTTGCGTATACTATACGCGCGACTAGCGTACACATGCGTTCCCACGTGCGTACATATATGAGGCGTATACACTCAAGGATATAACGGGTGTAAATGAACATCATTGATATGGTCGTTATCTGTTGCGTCGCCAGCAACTGAATTATCGACGTCGTAACATTTTACGACGTCATAACATTTTACGATGTCGTAAGCATTTACGAGCACCGGTCGGACGCTTGAGATGTGAAGTGTATACTGCCATTCACCGATTATGTTGAATGGTTGAGACTGGTGAGACTGGTGAGACTGGTGAGACTGATGAGACTGATGAGACTGGTGAGACTGATGAGACTGATGAGACTGATGAGACTGATGAGACTGATGAGGCTGATGAGACTGATGAGACTGATGAGACTGATTATTAATCAGGTTCAAAGTTAATGTCTGGTTTTTGCAAAGATTTGCCTTCATTTTCTTCATTCTCTTTCTCTCCATTTTTCTTTAATGTAGCTCATGTGTAGAAACCATTTCATCAAAGCAATATACGGATAATTTGGCATTAATAAAAATCAATAATGCGTGAAAAAATGATACAGAGAAATGAGTCCGAACTTTCCCATAAATACTTGACCGGACATTGAAGCTCGTGAATAAATTAGACGTGAATAATCAGACGTGAGAAAAATCAATATATTATTTATTTATAAGAATTTTGCATGGCACTATTTCAGTGGTGTCGCATACGTACTCGATTGACATTATTTATGTTGAGTACTTGAATAAGCGTGACCGGGAAAATTGAATCTGAACTTTTGCCGATGACGCTGTAGTTTATTGTTACAACACTTCTCTTTAACTTCACTTCTTGTTGTTGTCTGTCTGCTACAAATCTTATAATCAATATTTAACACACTTCTAACCTGTCCAATCAATATGAAAATTTGCACACTTGTGTAAAGTTGGAGACAATGCATGAATCAATTGGCAGAATAAATAATTTCGAAAATTTAAAATTTTCTAACAAGTAAAACAATTTAAAAATTAATTTATCAATAATCTGGAAATAAAATTAGAAATTCATTGTACAAGTGGAACATCGGAGACACTGTATTTTTTAGAAGTATTGTCTTTTGAAAGTAATTTTTAAACGCATATTATTTAAGTTGATAAATGCACATTATTTTCAGGCCCTAATATATTCCGTGACGTGTGAAGCTGATATATAGTGTCTTAGCAAGAGACTTTTTATTAATTAGAGTTAATATTTCAGAATTTAATAGTGAATATTTACTCGAGAAAAATCAACTGAATAAATAAATAGCATTAAATTCATCAGAGCCGTACAGCTGCAGACGGCGGCTCTATATATAATACGGCTGCAGTTTACAACTGCAAGCAATATGAAGAGCTGTAGTTTAGAGTTGCAAACAATGAAGAGCTACAGTTTCGAGATACATTTTACAGCTGTAATTTACAGCTGCAAGCAATGAAGAGCTTCAGTTTCTATATACACTTAACAGCTGCCATTTACAGCTGTCACGCATCAATTACAGCTGCTCAGAGCAGCAGGTCACAGCTGCATTATACAGTTGCGCTTAAAGCTGCAGACTCAACATCTGCTGCTGCCAGCCGTTGTTTGGATGGCAGTTGACGGCAGTTGACGGCAGTTGACGGCGGTTGACGGCAGTTGACGGCAGTTGACGGCAGTTGACGGCAGTTGACGGCAGTTGACGGCAGTTGACGGCAGTTGACGGCAGTTGANACGACGGTCGTAACATACGACGTTTTAACTTAAACAGTCGCCCCACACTTACGACGGTCGTAACATACGACGTCTTAACTTAAACGGTCGCCCCACACTTACGATGGTCGTAACTTACGACGTCTTAACTCAAATGGCCGCCCACACTTACGACGGTCGTAACTTACGACATCTTAACTCAAATGGCCGCCCCACACTTATGACAGTCGTAACTTACGACGTCTTAACTCAAACGACTGCCCCACACTTACGACGGTGGTAACTTACGACATCTCAACTCAAACGGCCTCACCACTTACGACGGTCGTAACTTACGACGTCTTAACGAACACTCTTCATTTACGAACCCTCACTCACTCTTCAGCGAACTCACACTCTTCAGCGAACACTCTTCATTTACGACGGACGTATTTTAAGAAGTCGTAACTCACTCGGCCACTCCATACTTACGACGTGGTAGCTTACGACGCGGACTGCTCTTTGGGGTGACCACATGGGGTTGGTATGCCTCTCTGGGGCTGACATCTCGACGGCAGTTTCTGGTGTGGGGAATCTGATAAATGGAAGTTTGTCATCAGTTCTGCTATATAGTATAGCGGTCAATATATAGAAAGATTAGGCAGTACATGAGTTTAGTATTTTATAGCGATCAATTGGAATGTATAGCAGATCAGCATAATTATTATTAATATTAAAGCAATCAGTAAATTTAAAATATGTTAAAACTTAATATCCATTGTTATAAATAATAAAATTCATAAACATTTCAATATTTATGAACATGGCGGTTTATAAATTGCACAAAGCTGTAAAAAACTCAGAATCAGTTTTTATTAAACTCACGACAATATGATACGTCGGTGCTAATTCTACGTTAACGCGGTTTATTCAGGCAATCCCGCGGCTGCAGCTTATAACAGATGTTACAATCAGCTGAGTACATAAAGAATTTCAAATATGAGTAATTTTTATGAGTAATTTTGTGTTTACACGGGATGCTTCATCATAATATCAACACATCCAACACACACACACAATATCCACCATATTTATTATATATAACACACACATCACATTCACATCCATCACCTCAGCATGAAGCTCGCATGCATAGCAGCGATATCCAGCAGCTGCGTGCTGAGCAGGTATAAGTCAGACGTGACCGCCCTGCCAGCCTGTGTATACAACTGCAGTCAGTTGTATACAACTGCAGCCAGTTGTATACAACTGCAGCCAGTTGTATACAACTGCAGACAGTTGTATACAACTGCAGACAGTTGTATACAACTGCAGTCAGTTGTATACAACTGCAGACGTTACGATACCAGCCACTAGTTACGATACCAGTCACTAGTTATGATACCAGCCACTAGTTACGATACCAGCCACTAGTTACGATACCAGCCACTAGTTACGCTACCAGCCACTAGTTACGATACCAGCCACTAGTTACTTTGGCGTGATAATCAACATTTCATTTAGGGCAAAACTCAGCAAATATTCGGAGAAAAGCACGGCTGAGGTAAAACTCTCATCTTGTCTGGGGTAAAACACTCCCCTTGTCTGGGGTAAACACCAACCTTGTCTGAGATAAAACTCTCACCTCGTCGGGAGTAAAAATATCACCTTGTCTGGGATAAAATTCTTACCTCGTCTGGGGTAAAACAAACTTAACGTGTCTGGGTAAAACTATTTCCTGGTCTGGGGTAAAAATCTCTACTTGTCTGGCGTAAAATACCCACCTCGTTTGGGGTAAAACTTTCGACTTGTCTGAGGTAAAACACGTCCTTATCTTAATTGTCTGGGGGTAAAACTCTCACCTTTCTAGGGTAAACTGTTACCTCGTCTGGGGTAAAAAAAGTCTCACCTTGTCTGGGGTAGAACTCTTACCTCGTCTGGGGTAAAACTCTCACCTCGTTTGGGGTAAAACTCTCGCCTCGTTTGGGGTAAAACTCTTACCTCATCTGGGGTAAAACTCTCACCTTGTCTGGGGTAGAACTCTTACCTCGTCTGGGGTAAAACTCTCACCTCGCTTGGGGTAAAACTCTCGCCTCGTTTGGGGTAAAACTCTTACCTCATCTGGGGTAAAACTCTCACCTCGTCTGGGGTAAAACTCTCACCTTGTCTGGGGTAAAACTCTCACCTCGTCTGGGGTAAAAAGTTCAACTTATCAGTCAAGCATCGGAAAAAATTGCGTCCACGTTTCGGGCGTCGAAAAATAGCGCCCGCAGCTGCATTGATCTGCAGCATACGTAGCAGCTGCAGGGCAAACAGCTGCAGACATGTACGAACAACTGCTGTGCACATCAGTATATGCACACACAGCTGCCATTATCATCAAATCATCCCAATTCTGATCATTTGACCCCTGCAGACTCAAAATCTGGGGGTTTATCTGCCAGATTCTAGAATATCTCCTCTTTACACCAATGTCCCTCTCCCAGCCATATACTCACCCACCTCCCCCCTCCCTCATTGGGCCACCTCACCCGTCTCATAACCCTCCTACCCCTCATAACGATCCCTGCTCCTCATAACGGCACCATCTCCTCATAACAGCCTCCCTCATCCATAACGATCCCCGTCCTCATAACGCCCCTACCCCTCATAACAACCCCTGCTCCTCATAACGGCACCATCTCCTCATAACAGCCTCCCTCCCCCATAACGATCCCCGCCCCTCCCCCCTTACGACATATCGAGTTTTTATGTTCCATCAGGAGGAACAACTTAAATGCTGGCGCCAAACTCCGTGGACTTTGAGTATTGCGAGCCTCGCAACTTTACCATCTTATAACTTATACGACCGTCGTTGAGCTTACGACCATACAATGACTTACGATAAATTTGTTGGTTATACCACATACCTACACCAGGTTATTCCAGATTAGTGCAGGTTAAACTACATCAGATTGTACCAGGTTAATGCAGGTTAAACTATAAAGCATCTCACGTTCGGTTTGGGAAAAATAAAGACGATTTGATGTGGTCGCAGCTAGTATAGAACCCTGTATAACTAACAGATTGTTAAAAGTTACACAAATATAAATACATTGAAAATTATTATAAGTAGTATAAATCAAATTAGCTATTGAACAAACTAATTAGTACGGGATGACCGTAGCTATACCTATACGTACTTACTCTACTAAGAGTTTCTGTAGTGGAATGAATGAAAATACTATAAGCTTTAATAATGTTAACTATGGTCGTATTCATTGTGGTGACGTTCATATATAAACAAATCTTTTTTTAATTAAATCTAATTCTAAATTTCTAATATTTATATCATATTAATACAAAATCTTAAATCTTAAACTGAACCGCTACAACTACACCACATTGTACCAGGTTAGTGCAGGTTAAACTACACCACATTGTACAGGTTAATGCAGGTTAAACTACACCAGATTGTACCTGTTATAATGCAGGTTAAACTACACCAGATTGTACCAGGTTAATGCAGGTTAGACTACACCAGATTGTACCAGGTTAATGCAGTTAAACTACACCAGATTGTACCAGGTTAGTGCAGGTTAAACTACACCAGATTATACCAGGTAGTTCAGGTTAACCAGATTGTACCAGGTTAATGCAGTTAAACTACACCAGATTGTACCAGGTTAATGCAGGTAAAACTACACCAGATTGTACCAGGTTAATGCAGGTAAAACTACACCAGATTGTACCAGGTTAATGCATGTTAAGCTTGTCGGGATTGTGCAACGAAGTCAGATTGCCTCTCGCAATCGCACAGTTAACGAATAAATGAAGTCAATCTTCATTTATTAATATTTTATTTCATAGACGTTAATCTCGGCAGCGTTTATCTTGATCATAGGTTATGCGAGTATAATTATATGATTATAACAGTTTTATTATTATTGACATAAAATAATATAGCAGAATATATTTAAATATATTATAGAGGCGGTAAATGAAATTGCTCGTGGTAAAATGAAATGATGGTAAACAAAAATGAACGGCCCTGCAATGTGTTAACCCACATCCTTCGTCCCAAATGGATTAAATTTATATATTACATAAATATCAACCGACGTATTAATCTTACCTATAATATTTGCTAAGTCAAATACATGGACCAAATGAATATGAATCTATGAATGCGAATGTACAGAGTGGGGCAAAACCGATTGAGAAGTTTTGAGGCAAAATAAAAAGTAATGGAGGTACATGAAGAAGAAAGTTTATTTTCTTCGAGGTTAGCATAACATACAATTTAAAATACTTATGTTATGAAAACAATATCTGGAAGATGGGGTTTGTTAGCTGCAGCACACTGTTGGAGTCGTTCTCAGAAGTTTTCTGCAGCACGTTCACACATTTGACTATAGGTATGGCTATAAACTCTGCTGCAATAATCCGTTCCCTTAGCTGTGGTAGGGTGTGAGGGCGACTTCTGAACCCCTTTCTTTTAGATACATCTGAACACTTTTTCTTTTAGATGTCCCGAAAGAAAGAAATCGCAAATGCTCAAATCATCTGACCTCGCAGGCCACTGTAAATCACCCCTCAGAGACACCGAGAACGACTCCAAAATGTGATGCAGCTAACAAACCCTATCTTCCTGATATTGTTTTCAAAACATAAGTATTCTAAATAGTATGTTATGCTAACTTCTAGGAAAATAAACTTTCTTCTTTATGTACCTCCATTACTCTTTTATTTTGCTTCAAAACTGCTCAATCGCTTCTGCCCCACCCTGTATAATGAATTTATATCGACGCAAGATTTTGTTGCATCCCAGTGATACTTATGAGTCTCAAGTAAATATTCCAGTTTGAAATATTGTTGATTTCAATTAAAGGGTCTAATTAAGAGTTCCGTCTAATTAACTGATATCAGTTGATTAGACGGGAAAATCGTTAAGGATTGTTGAATATTTCAATATGAATAACGGAAAAAGTTCGAAATAGCAGCAAAATTGAGAAGTCCGGCCCCTTGGTAAGTTCAAGAGGCCAAGCTTGATAGTTTATAGGGTTATTTAGCGATAGAATATATCAATGC